GGTGCTGCGGCAGCTCAGCCGTGTGCCCGGCCCAGTGGCCTTGTCCCGACCCTTGGGGGACCCCACCTCTGTCCCCTCATCCACACCAGTGTTCCCCATGTTCATCTCCAGCCCATGTCCCCACTCTGACCCTCGGGTCTTCCTCATCCCGACCACTGTGTCCTCCTGTCCCCACTCTAATCCCTACCCTGACCACCTCGTCTGCCTCACCCAGATCCCCGTTTACCCATTCCCACTCCAAAACTAGTGTCCCTATTGCCATCCTAATCCCCGTATCCCCCCTCTCCCAATTCCCATGCCATCCCCACCCTGTCCCCTACAGCCCTCCACACCATTCCAGACCCTGTGTCTCCCTGTCCCAGCCCCCTCTGTGTCCCCACATGCACCCACCCTGACCATGTGTGGCCCAACGCTGCAGGCACCCATGGGCACTTGGTCCCAGTCCAGCCCTTGCCTGTCCCTGGTCACCCTGCATGCCCAGCCCCTGTCCCCCTGCCCTGGCTGAAAGGTGCCACTGCCATCAGTTTGCTCTGCAGGGCTGGGGACCATAGGGAAGCTCTGTTTGGCTGCACTGCTGGGTCCCCAGGGGACACGAGTATCCAGGGGAGCACTGCCTGCCACCCTGCTTGATGTCCTGCAAAGCAGGGGACCATGACTGGATGGCACAGACCATGCAGACCATGGCTGTGGGGACAGGCTGTCATGGGGCTTTCTGCAGCCCAGGGCGGATGGATGACCTTGGCAGGGCTAGGTGCTGCCCAGGGTGGGAGGGCACCCAAGGAGCTTGATGTCCTGCTGGGGTCAGGCCTGGCAGGGGACATTCCTCTGAGCACCACTCTGGTCACAGCCCCCATAGGTCACCCAGCAGCAGGACCCCCTCCCATGGCCCTGCTGAGGTGAGCTGGCAGCACAGCTGGGGAAGGCAGGGTGGTCTGCACAGCCCTCCCCCCCCGCAGTGTCACCCTTTCAGGAAAGGACCAGGGCACTGGGGAGGCCAAAGCCACCACTGTTCCATGGGGCTGAACAGGGGCCAAGTCCTGGTCTCCTCCCAAGGAACAAGAGGTGAGTGCAGGGTGGTACTGGGAACAGGGCTGGGAGGGGGACGTCAGTGCCAGGACACCACTCAGCTCACCTCGACAGCACCTCCCCAAGTGGTATCTTTTAGGGGAGGCTGAGCACACACATCAGGGCAGAGCCCTGAGACCCCCATGGTGACACCGTCCCACACCAACCATCCCAGAGCTGGCAGGGCTGGGCTGAAGGCTTTATTGAAAAATTGAAAACACATGATGTAGTAATTATAATACATTGGGAAAAAAAAAAATCAACCCAATCTGCAGCAGGGGCCACCCCTGCTGTTCAGCCGCCAGTGCCGGGGACCATGCCGGGGACCATGCGGGGGACATTGCCCCCTTGCCAGTGCCTGGCCGAGATACAAAAAGGAGAAGTTGTTTTGGCCAAGCAATGTCACCAGTCCCAAGTCCCCCTCACCACCGTGACCCCCTCACTGCCTCCCTGGCCCCGACCCGGCCTGGAGGCCTGAGGTAGTTGGGGGTACCCCACGCAGGCGTGACCCCTCCCAAAAGAGCGGAGAGGGGCTTGGGGCTCCCTGTGTCCCGCAGGAACGGGATGGTTGGTATTGCATCCGGAAGGGAGCCAGCGTGGGTCGGGGTATGGCTGCAGGAGGGTGTGGGGGGGCAGTGGGAGCCCTGGGGGGGAACCCCGAGGTCCCCGAGGCAGGCTAGGGGCATGGAGCGGGCACACTGGTGACAAGGCTGGCCCTGGGATGCGGGGACACCAGGTCCCTGCATGGTGGACGGCTGCGCTCTCCTGGGTGTAGGGGGGTGCCAACCCCGAGGCCACAGTGATGGCTGGGGATGCAGGGGGGTCCCATTGCTCCGAGCGTCAGCCAAGAGCTGACAGGCAGCACTGGGAGAGCACGCGGTGACAGCCCAGTCACCTTGGGTGATGCCACCGCTTCCTAGGGGGAGAAAGGCCAAATCCTGGCCCCCAGCACCCCAAAGGCGAGGGTGGGCTGGCTGTCACCCCCCAGGAAGTGGCAGCTGCCTGAAGGCACGGTGCAGGCAGCCATGCTGCTGGGCCAGGAAGGAGTGCCTGGCCCATGGGGGTGGCTGCGGGTGCCGGGGACATCGCTGTGCGGTCTGATGCCCCTGTCCCCACTTCAGCAAGATGAGCTGGGGGCCCGGAGCTGGCAGACACCCCCTGCTCTCTGAGCCCCTGCTCCAAGGCACAAAGGTTCCCAGTCTGCCCCAACCCACGGCAATGCCGGCACCAACCCCTAGTGCACCGAAGAGGGTGGCATCAGTCCAAAGTCAGCAGGCATGGGGAGCTGCTCACTCTGACTTCAGGGTGCTCTGGTTTTACGGCACCCCAGCTTCACCCTGAACCCTCTGTGCTGCTGCCCTGGAGCCACCTCCACATCCCCAGGAGCTGGTGGCTTGTGCGGTGGCACCATGGTTGCCCAAACCCATGCACAGCACCTTGTGAAGGGTTTATTGCTGGCATAAACACAGTGATCTGTTAGGGCAGGGCAGCCCAGCTCCACGTGGGGTGGTTAGTTTTGGGGACCCAGGGCAGGAGCCCATGGCAGCATCCCCCACTCTGCCCGCCTCACTCCCTCCTCACCGCCAGCCACTGCCAGCACCCCAGTGTCAGTGGCCAGGTTGTCCCATGGCAATGTCCCCCCGCACTCTGCAGTGGCCAAAGGCACTTGGTGCCCCCACCCAAAGCGGGGAGCATACCTAGCACCAAGCCCAGCAGCACCCCAAAAGCTGGCTCCCGCCCCAGCAGCACCCCTGGGGCCCTCGGCACCCTTGGCACGGGCAAGATGTTCGCGCCGAGCCCGGGGCCAGGTTAAGGCTGGAGAAGGAGCAAGAGGCCACAGAAACCAAATGGCTCTCACTCAGCCAGAGCCGGCTCAGAGAGTTCAGAAAATCTGTGCAAAAACAAAATGAAAGGGTTAAAGACCCCCTGGAAACCTCCCCAACCCCAAGCAGCGCTAATAAATACAGGTGCAGTTGCAGCTGGCATCAGGCCCCCGCTCCCGGCCCCGCTGGGGTCTTGCTAGGCAGCTTCGGAGGCAGCTCTTGGCTGGGGGGGGGGCACGGGGGCCATGTGCTTCGGGGTGGCTTTTGCACCCATTTCTCATGGATCTTCCTAAAAGGCTGCACCCAGCTGGGGCCCAGCGTGCCACAGGGGTTCCCCTGCGAGCCGCTCCCACCAGGGGCATTAATCTGCACCTGGAGAGGGAAAGCGAGAGGGGGTAAGGGTGGTCA